TATATTATATTATATTATCTTATATTATCTTATATAATAAAATATATGATAATATAATAAATAATATATTATTTTTATTTCCAAATTTATATAATTAATTTTATTTTAATAAATAATAAATATAATAATTTATTTTAATTTAATTTAATTTAAATGCACTGTACTATAATAATCTATCTTACTTTATTATAATTTATTTTTCATTTAATATTATATAAATTATTTTATTATATTTAAATTATTATAAGTTTATATCTTATTAATATAAGATACATTATCTTTAAAATTTTAATTGTGTTTATTAATACTTAGTGTCCATATATATTAATTGCTATTGAATCCAATACATAACTTGGAATGGTGTGGTGGTTTCATTGCAACAATGTAACCTAGAGGTCACAAGTTTGAACCTTGCCTCTGTTTATAATTTTTGCCGCCACGTCAGCCTTTATAATTTTTGCCGCTACGTCAGCAAAATATTGACATGTCAGCCACGTCACCAGCCATGTCAGCAAAATCGCCACGTCACCAGCCCATGTCAGCAAGGAAAGCCCGATTTTTGGCTCGATGCATACAATTGCAAAAAATTGTAAAAGTGGTGTATAAATTTGTCAACTTTAAAAGTGGTGCATTAAATTGCAAATTTCGAAAAGGTCATGGTTTTATTTGCAATTAAGCCAAATTTTAATAAACAAACATGTCCTTACTTGGGCTGGGCTAGGGATTAAAAAAAAAAAGGAAAAAGTTAAACTAAGTAATGGTTAAAGCAAGTAACAGGTCTGGGTTTCAACCCAACCCAGGCCTAATGTAAATCCGTCTTTGATCCACACTACTTTGAGTTCAATCACAAAGAACTATATGTCATATAAGAAATAGACTCAGTCTAAAAAAATATATTCTCCAATACAAATAAAATATACTGAGTCCTACTGATGTGGCAACCAAAGAAAGAGACACTGTATACCCTTAAGTCTATTTTAGACCTAATTAGAGACTATACTTAGTCTCTTTGCATTGGAGTGAATTTTGTTAATTTTACATAATTTTATTCATGTCATCCAAGACTTGAGTTTATTTACATGTCACCTAGGCAAGACTAGACCCAATGCATTGTAGATGCTCTAATGTAATAAAATATTTATAACCAATCTCACTTCAAAGGTAAATGCTTTCTACATGATGGGACACTGCCTTTTAGGAGTTGCGGCTATTATTTGTGCACATAAATGAATGACTAAAAGAGTCTCGTTTATTTAAGCTGATGGGATAGGATATAGTTGGATGATTCTTTACTAACAATGATAGGATATTCATATTGGGATTGGATAATAAGTTGATGTGTCATATGGATCTCACTCTTTTATGCAATTATTTTGTCAGGTCTTGGGACGTTTTAATCCCACCTTATAAATGACCATTTTGTCCAAAAATTAAAATGTGAAATATCTTTTTTATCCTTGGAAGTCCACCAAATTATAGATTTAGGCTATATATATATATTTTATTGCCACCTCATATTTATTTTTTTATTATGTCATTTTATTCATATTAGTAAATGCTTGATTATTTGCCTTAAAATGTATCATGCTTTATAAATATTAAACACAAATCTATTACTATATAATAGAGAGAAGAAAAAATGTTTGAAAAATATTTTCAGTTTGCCGCTCAAATCCTTTTTTCCCTCCTAAAATTTTATTTGAAATTTTTTCATACACGTTTTCCTTATTTTGGATGAGATTCCTTCCATATCGGATAAATTCCAATCCCTTTTGATTTGGGAAAACCGAAAAAAGAGGAATGCTCAAGTATTTTCACAATTGAATCTTTAGGAATCGATTATATATACATCAATTAAGATAACGATATCAAAAATAGCAAATATAAGTGGTTTTAAGAATCTCTGCTATCGGGTATTTTAATCATATTATTTGTAATTCAAACAATTTTATAAGGGATTTACAATGTCTTATTTTCTCTTATTTAATTGAGGTCTTATTTTCAAAAAACAATTTGAGCATTCCTCAAATTTGATATCGTTAGCATTTGTGAGCATTCAATTAAGATAACGACAAATTATCTAAACACGAGTCTTATTTCGTAATTTAATTGAGGTCCTCGACCATGAAGACCATGTTAGTATACAAATATTTTCACTCAAAATGAGTTATTTTTGGTAATTATAGTTATTTTTTTTTAAAAAAGTAGTATGGTTAGTTTTTAGTGAGATTTTGATTTTATATTAAAATAATATTTAACATAAAATAATTAAAATTGATTTGATGAAAATAAGAGAGAGAATATATCTGAAGTGAGAGTTAGTTAAAATTATGCGAGGGATGAATAATAAATTAAAATTAATGGGATGTTTAAGAATGATTTGTTGAGATTATTTAATTATATTGATAATATTTATTATAGTGGAGTTGTGTGAAAGTTTAGTTAAATTTTGAGTATAGAGTGAGTTTTTTTGTATACAAACACACTCGAAGAATCTCCACTTATATTTATCCAAGTTATCTAATTGGGTATTTTAAGATATAATGAATATAATATTATATTTAATTAATTATACGATTATTCTTATGGATATAATTACTAAAATATTAATTATTCTAGAAAATATTTAAAAATAAATTTGAATTATCATACCTTTTACTTTATATGAAATTCAAAATTACATATTTTAATATATTAATAATTGTTTATTGTTTTTTTTTCCTTACTTGATATACTCTAAATTTGGTTATTAGATTTTTAAATTCAAACATTTAAAGGAAAATATCACAAACAGAATTTTTGGGTAAATTTTATTTTATCTTGATTTCCATATAATCACATTTCTAACAAACTAATTAATATTATATTTTTTATCTACATTATATAACTGATTTATTTATGATATAATTAATATAATATCTTAACTAATTAATCATTTATCTAACCGGAATTATCTCCCTACAAACTTGTCAATTTTTTTGAAATTAAAATGGTATGATTATTTTTACGGAGATACTTACGAATATATTAAACATTTAGAATTTTTTTTTTTTTGTAAAATGAGTTATCCCTCCTTTTATTTTATTTGAAATTCTAAGTTATATTTTTAAATATATTATTATTTATTTTTTCTTACGTGTAAATGTTTATTATTTCTTATCCAAGTGATAAATATTATTGATTTATCTCTTTAATGAATGTTTATTATTTATTTTTTCCCTTACGTGATATATTTAAATTTGGTTATTAAATTTTTAAATTCAAACATTTAAAGGAAAAGATCACAAGAAGATTTTTTGGGTACATTTCATTTTATCTTAACTTCCATATAATCATATTTCTATCAAAGTAATTAATATAATTACATTTATCTAACCAGAATTTTTAAAATATAATTAATATAATATTTTAACTAATTAATCTTTTGTCTAACTGAATTTATCTCATTAACAAATTTGTCAAAAAATTTTGAAAATAAAATAGTAAGATTATTCTTACGGGTATACTTACCAGAATATAAAAATTTTTTGAAAACAAATTTGAATTGTTCCGTTTTTTACTCTATTTGAATTTCAAAATTAAATTTTTAAATATATTCATACACATTATTATTTATTTTTTCTCTATGTGATATAATCTAAATTTGGTTATTAGATTTTTAAATTCAAAAATTTAAAGGAAAAGACCACGAACAGATTTTTTGGTTACTTTTCATTATATCTTAACTTCCATATAATCACATTCCTAACAAACTAATTAGTATAATAGTTTTTTATCAACGTTTATATAGTTTTTAAAATATAATTAATATAATATTTTAACTAATTAAATATTTGTATAACTTGATTTATCTCAATAACAAACTTGCCAAATTTTTTTGAAATTAAAAAGATTTGGATGATTTTGATTTGTAAAAGAACAAAAAATAGCTTTATTTTAAAGCCTGAATTCTTTTCATTATTTTTTGTACATTAACAATTATATATTGGATAATTGATTTAAAAAAAAATCAAAACCGTAAGGTTTAATAATATTCTTTAAATAAAAAATATTGTAGAAAGAGAAATGTTTGATAAATCATATTTTTTATTGTTTGTATTTATTTTATTTTCATAATAGATGAGATAAAATATAAAGAATTATATTAAAAATAAAATCTAAAAAAAGTTTAAAATATGAACTACATGTGTAAAGTTGATGAGATTAAACTGTCTAATCCCATGGTTTAAAGTAAACGACGACTGTGTGATGGATTGATTTTTGTAACTGTAAAACAAAATGTAATTGTTAATGACAATAGGTATGAAAAAGTGACGATCTTTTTACCCAACACCTTTGTCCCCACCACTAACACTCCCCTCAAAAATCATCACTTTGTCATCATCAAAGAAAGGCCACTCGAATTCCACTCAGGAAAAAAGAACAGGAAAAACAAAACAAAAATCACGCTTTATTTCTCTATAAAAACCTTCAAATCCCTAATTCTGGTAACTAATATGGCGGCCAACCAGCCAGAAGGCTACGCTTCCGATGACTTCCTCGAGCAAATCCTTGCGATCCCTTCGTATGGCGGGCTCGCAGGAGCCGACGCCGCTAACTCCTCGGAGACTTCGTCACTAAGTGATGCTGTCTCCCAGCTAGGTCCATCTCCGGCCGCCGGCCTCCACCATCCGCCGGCGATGTTTCCTCTGAGCCTTAGCCTTGATAACGGTCGAGACGCTGTAAATGAACACGGAACCTTTGCAGTGAAGCCAGTAAGCTTGTTTTTTTTTTTTTTCATTGTTTTTATTTTTCACCGTTTTGTCATGCAAATGCCTCGCAGTGAATTAAGCGAGAAGAGCCCTAGGTCAATTTAACTGTTATTACATCCGCAGCCAAAAAAGAGATGAAAGGAAAAAGCAAATAGCATATGGTTGAACTATTTGGCGTTATGATTGATCTATTTAGCGTTATGATTGAACTATTTAGCTTTATGATTGAACTGTTTAGCGTGGTTGGTCTCTTGGTTTAGCTTAAGGTCTTAAAGTCCATTGAAAGTTAGAAAAGGAATAAGTCCATTGGAAGTTGGCGGTTCTAGTGGTTTCACATTATGAGTCTGGATCATGCTGTTGCTGTGTAATTTCTGTAAAGGGGTCTTGATATCTTTCTCAGTTGTGTGCATGTATCCTGTTTTTGCAGGAAAGGGAAGCAGCTAATAATAGTATAGGGAGCTTGTATCCAGTGTTTGATCATTTACAGTCTCATGCATTTCGCCACCCTGCGCCTCAAGTTCAACAGGTCGAACTCTCTTATGCACATAGTAGTACAGTTTTCCCCTTTTTTAAGTAATTTGAGTGCAAGTCATGCTTGGTTATGGTCAAATTCTTGCCCTGGAGGAGATGGGTAGTTATTGAGAACTGTTATGAGATCATGATAGAATATTGATTCAGGGTTGGGCAAATGGATGTGTGGATGTGTGATTTCCTCTGTATAATCTGTTTAGTGGAAATTCTATGCAGGATGAATAACTGCGAGATTGATGAATATATTGACTCACGCGCTTATGTACATTATCCCTTTCATACATTTCTATGGTGTCATGGATCTGGAAGACATTCTTATACACTTTGTGTTGTGAGCTGAGCTTTTTAGATTTTCAGAAAAAAGTCCAATCTTAGCTCAAAAAAGTCCCAACGAACTCAAGTATTTTTGGCCACCTAATAACTAAGGATTTGATTTCGTTTTTAAAATATGATACCTTGTTAATTTGTTTAAATAAGCTTTACTAACAGTCTAACATCAACTAAACCTGACACCCATTTGTTCTAATTGATGCTATAAATTTCACTGTATAAGTCATCCTAAATAAATTTGTAGTAATGCTCTACTTTAAGAGGTTATTTGGGGCTTCGTTGCCTTTGTTCTGTTGCGTATATCCCTATGTTGAAGTCGTGCTATCTGGATGTGAGGGCCACATCCTCCCATTTACTCCCAAAAATGAAAAAGGGGTTGAATTACAAGGAATGTGTCTTTGTTTTAAGAACTAGTGTTTGTTTAGATTATTAGCATTAAAGATCCCTTGTTCGATTGGTTGGTAGATAAGAATGCAAGATGAATTAGTGAAACTTGTGAACTCTAAACTTTCCTCTTGTAGATCAATATATGTAAAACTATGTTGGAGTAAGATAAAAAATCAAGCGAATTGTATACATTTAATTGTTGGACGAGAATTTTTTATTTTGCTAATTTCTGTGCCCTTATGTTATTTGGAGTAGTTTCAAAGATTTTAGTGTCCTGTATCTTGCTTCTTTAAAGAGGCACGCATTATTTATTTGATATAATTTTCCTTGTGAAGCACTTAATATTTGTACCTACTGCAGGCCTTTCAAGGTATGCCAACTGCAAGCACGGCTGTCACTGTGCCACATCCACCAGTCATCAGGCCTAGGGTTCGGGCAAGAAGAGGCCAAGCAACAGATCCCCATAGTATCGCTGAGCGGGTATACTATTTGTGAACAAGCTACCTATATACCCTTCTGAGGGGAAATAACTATTTCTTATACTCGTATCACTAATACATCTAAATAAACTGATGTATCGTTATACAGTTGCGTAGAGAAAGGATATCAGAGAGGATCAAGGCCCTGCAAGAACTTGTTCCCAGCTGCAACAAGGTTCTACACCTTTTAACCTAGCTGTTACGTTACCTTATTTGTTTGGCAATTTTCCTTT